CCTAACCGTCCTGTCCCACCAAAACTCCCTCACTCGTCCGCACGCTTCCCGCCCAAAACGATCAGCGCCGCTCCATAGCGTCAATGCCACATTCATGCCCGGCCAGAGCAGACGTGACCTCTCACTGACCGGCATTGAAGCGGCGCACCGGCAGAGATAATGCCGCGCGCGCCGCTTCCTGGTGTACGCGACTGCTCTGCATTCAAACAACACCATGGCCGTCCGTCCGTCCGTCTCCCGCCAACATTAATGACACGCACTTGCCGAAGAACCTACTCCGGCGCCACCCCTCCGTCCCTCTACCGCCTACCATTGCCATTCGCCCGCTATATAAACTGCAGCCTCGTTCATAGATGCATTCATCCTCCTCCGGTCCCTTTCTCCTCTTCCGCACAACTCCCACCATGGCCTCTTCACACTCCAAAGCTCTCTCGAACAGACTATCGCCGGAGCAGAAGGAGATGGCCGCCATTGCTGCCGGCGCCATCCTCATCACCATCGCCACCCTTAGAGGTGCATTGCACCATGATCATCGGCTAGGACCATGATCATTACATGGACATGGTGCAGGAGGAGCGGGAGGAGAAGCCGGGAGGCGCAGGTCAACGCGACCTACAACATCCAACTCCTCCAAGAGTACCAGCCCACGGAGGAGCGGCTCAACGCCGGCAGGCAGATCGCTAGTCCAACCGCTCCATCTGCCAGATCCGCCTCGATCGATGGCTATACCTCCAGCGTCAGGTGGAACTGGAGGCCGCCTGCAAGGAGCTCGACGAGGCGACAAACGAGGTGTGGGGTAAGACCGACATCGCCGGCTCCGCCCCGGCCGTGCCCCGCCGCCACGACCACGAAGCCGACACGTCCACCAGCACCTCCGATAGCGAGGAATAGTTCATGGCAGGTTACCACCGCTCTGGTCCCAAGAAGATCACCGCTCCTACCCTCCAGTTGCAGCCAAGCTTGGTGGGCTGAAGATCATTGGCCGATTAGCCGAGGTGGAGGCTGGCAGCTTCACTCCCGGGGGCTCCGGAGGAGGAGCTAGAGAGCGCCGAGGTGAAACTAGAGAAGGCAAAGCTTCAGTTCTTAGGGCTCATGACCGGATACAGGGAACGGGCGCCGACGTTCATTTAGATTAGGTATTATACCTCGAGATTCAGACGAACACCGCTTTTAGTTCAAGTATGTCCGAAATGTAATGAATTCCAACATGTTTATATGAAATCCGCCGTGTTTGCATGAATCTCTTCTGGTTTATATGAAATTCAGTCATGTTTGCACGAATTTGGTCATGTTAGTTCGGATAGTAGTTGAAATGTATGCGGGCAGCGTTGATGGCTGCCTCCCGCATCCGTGGCCGCGGGCTGGCCCCCCTTGTCCACGGACGGATGCGGGAGGAAATTTGCGAGTCGACATTAGATATGCCCTAAGGAAACTTGTAGCGGCTATAAGCATGAGTTTCTATTCAAGCATCAAAATGATAAAATGGCGTGTTACCCTTAAAAGGTTCATTAGAACTATGAGGTTTTCCTTTGAGCTGACGTAACGCAGCATCACTGATGAATTTGTTCTCTCCAATAGAATATCTCCCAATAGCTGAAAGAAATACCATGCAATACAAGTTTAAGGAAAACCATTATCGCTTAGACGCGAGAGATCAAATTGTCGGTGTTAAAAGGTCAATAAGCATAAGCAAAACTATTGTCGATTAAATGTGATACAAAATGCCTTCCTTCCCAAAATATAAGACGCGCATTAACTTTTTTGGTCTTCATTGCACAACTTATGAGTAAGATTTTCACTTTTGTATACAATAAAAACAACAACAACAAAGCCTTGAGTCCCAAACAAGTTGGGGTAGGCTAGAGGTGAAACCCATAAGATCTCGCAACCAACTCATGATTTCACTTAGAGACAAATACCATGATACAATTGATAAATGTTCAACGTATGCATTTCGGTATATATTAATGGTCAAAATCATGCATCAAAGACCATGCAAAGTCAAATGCGCCTTATATTTTGGGAAGGAGGGAGTAGAAAATAAACAATTGGAGATACTGAAGCACAAGTGTAGAAAAAAGTATACCTGAATAGACTGCCTTTTGGTGACATAGTTGGAAGAATGTAGCAATTTCGTGTGAAAATCTGAAAAGAACTGAAATATGATTTGTACAATTAGAATACATGCAGCTTCCCAAACGGAAATTCTCACATATTATGAATAATCATTGGGTCCCCTATCAAAGATTGGTGATTTAGGACAAATTACGTTTGAGATTGGCCTATGAATTCAAGCTTCTATTCCTGTATTATAAACAATGTTCATCTTTGTGTGTGAGTTCGCTTGTGTGCAACCTCATGATAAACCACGTATCACTAGTAGTTTTTGTTTTTGTCAAATAAATGGTAGGCTAACAAAACATATCACAAATATTGCAATTATTAGACCAAGTAGTAAAGATGCATAAGTTGGTTCGTTGAGATTGTCAACAATAATCTGATTACTAGCATCATTTCAGTTTATGACAGGATATGATTATCGAATTAATTTTCTGAAATGTTAAAAATCTATCAACCGGAAAACCTTACCCAATCATAGTTCTTCGTGAAGAATTCAGCTGCTGATGATTTATGCCTTGTCAGGAGTTCCTATTACATGTGTGATGAGAGCAATTGTCATAAAAAACACTACACAAATACTTGATTTGAGAATGCCACCTCGCTGTTCAGATCCAAGTCTATAGATCAAATGTTATAATTGTTCAGAAGACTCAGTGAAGAGACAATTCAAATGAGGATCTACTGAGAGTAAGGGGCTGCTTTTGGGGCTGTCTTTTAGAACAATCCCCTCTAATAGTAAAGATTAGGTTCCAAACTTACGTACTAACCTTAAATGTCTTGAAGGCTTCTGATGATGGACTGAAGTCAGGAAACTGGATATAATCAAAGAATTTCTTCATATGCTGAGAATATAATACATACCTGTAAAATACTATTGAATATTTATTACTACAACAAACCAAAAAAATAACCTTCAAAATCAGTAGTGATAATAGTCATCAAAGCAAATCATGATGTTTGGATAACAGAAATACTATTGTTTATACATAACTTTGTTTGGCCATGAAAACGAGTTACTGTATAGATAGATTCCTTTCTCCTAAGATAATTATATGTAAATCATGGCCATACCGTGCAGCAACTTGGTGGCGTACGCAATCCCTCAATATTGTACTATAATGTATCGCAATGTCCCTGTTATTAAACCTGCGCAAAGGATACAGAAATAGCATGTGTTCAGTTCAAACTTATTATAAATTAACATCACAAGTAAGAATCTGACAAATATGATGAAAAAATAAAGCACTTCTATGAATTATAAATAGTTGGTAATTAAGAGCAGATGGACACAACTTTTGACACACAATCAAGGTGCAAAAAAGGAAGCCGAATGGTTACTGACCCAGCCATTAATATATCCAAAAGATCTTGGTTAACTTCCAAGTAGTCAGAGGCAGGGATCCTTGAATCTACCTTTTGTCTTGCCAGATTTGCAAAAACTAGAGTTACTTCCTTTTGAGTCTGAGAAAAGAAACAAACTTCCACTTACAAATAATTAGAAGTTTAAAAGCCAAATCTATATTAATAATGATAGGATCCAATGTTGTTCCTGATTGGAAAAACGAGGTTTCTATAGGTTGGAAAAAAAAGGTGTCCTGGAATCCTTTAACTTACTTCCAGGTCCATATGTGGAACGCAAACAATTACTAGACGTAAAGTATTATCCTTGAAAAACTCCCTTGTCAATTGCGTACATGCTTCGGCAACAGGATCACCGTCGCCATCTCCATAGAGAATGGATTTCATTGCCCTAACACTTATGCTTAGATCTGTAATCTGCATATTCAGTCAAGTGTAGATTTAACCATTTGACATGTATCATAGTGTCAACTACGAATAAGCTTACTGAAAGAACCAAATGACATTTATAATTATAACTATAAATGCACTGTTCAAACTTAACTTTCATCAAACACAGACCCTCTTATTACACATAAATCAATGTAACGAAAAGGTTGTCCTATCTTGACTTAGTTTATACCATTCTACTTCTGCAGTTCTGCTCATTATAAACATAAAAGTGCACCGCTCAAACTAAACATTCTCACTAGACAAAGAACTCGAGCACGAATCTCGGCTGCCCGCCTTCTTGCTTTCATGCCCACCTCTAATGTCTCAATGCAGCCATGCTCTTTTCAGGCACTCGCCTAGTTTACTCCACTCTAGCGTTGTCACTGAAACACAAATACTAGTGATGTCCTGTTTGCTCCTATATAATCACCCTCACTGAAACACAAATACCAGCTGTTTGCTCCTTT